GCCAAAAATGAAAAAAATAAAAATCGCTGGAAATGATTGGAATTGGTCTAGGAGAGTCGCCTTTGACCTCCTTTGTCGAAATTGCGTGCTTCCTGACTCTTTTGCATCCTGTTTCTTCGACTATAAAATTGCGTCTTTGGTTTGTTGCAGGAAGATCGGCCTGGAGGTGTACCTGTCTTGGACATCAGCAAAGCAGCCTATGTGTCACCTGCTGTATGCTGAGTTGGCGTTGCAGCAGCACACAGCAGGAGGAATTGCTCCTTTTTCTCATGATCGCAGGAATGAATCTGGTAAGTTTTGACTTTCAATTTGATGTTAACATAAAATACCAGTACATTTATGGTAGTCATGTCTGGTAAAAGTTTATTTTGGTATTGTTTCTATTTGGGGGTTACTTGTCATTTCTTTACTGCTTATTCTCATTCTATATATACGGCTTATTAGTTGAGCCTAAAATATATAGTCGTGTTTTAATTTTAGTGCGGAACTGGAGGCAAATCATTTGTAATCACTGACAGTAATGCTGCTATTTATTTCATTTGTATGGTACAGTCGTAGTAAAATTGGAAGTGATGCTGCTTCTTGTCCATAGGGATGTGCCTGGACTTGATGCCGACCACCTGTAACAGAAAGTTCATTCTATGAGTTGGCGTCACAGTGATACAGATGGACCAGAGCATGTTTGAGTTGAACTCTGAGATAATTTGAATTTAAGTCAGATTTTTTCATTCTTTTTCAGGTATTTAGATTCGACCAAAGTCACCAGCAGAAAGGAGCCAGCTAATTGAGGAAGATTTACTCTTTTAATGTAAATGATTTGAAACAATAAAGAATTCAATTACTATCCAACATTTTACTTGATTTCATACAACTAGTTTGCTAGATGCTGTGGTAACTGTGGATGTAGTAGCAGACTGCCACCACTACAGCAGTGACGTCACGAGCGTCTCGGATGCAGCTCTCGTTAGCTGTGGAGGCAGTAGTAGACTTACTGCAGGATGCCGCTACTACCACCCCACAACCACCGCAGCAGCACCCAAGACACCCGTCACGTCACGACGGTAGCGGGGCAGCCCGCTACTACCTCCACAGCAACCGCAGCCGCGAGGAGCGCGGGGGCAGGGGGAGGGAGGGTTCGTCACACATAAGCCAGGACGCTGCTT